ATTATCATTTATGCACTTGTATAAACAACTGAGTGTTTTTTTTTTTTTCAATATTCAAACATCGAATTCCAATTGAAAAATGCCTATTCCAAAACTATTTTGTTTTGAATTTCATTTTACCCTTCGATAATCTCTCTATTGAAACACCTTGGCAGATAGGTCTGCATAAAACGGTACCATTGCGCACTTTTAGCCGCGGTCACAGTGTCGATGTTTCAGTACAGAGCCTCAAGCAGTTTTTGTGTTCGAAACTCCCCCAGTGGGATTCCTCTGGCTCTGGCCTCATCTTTGTTATCTATGTATCGTCCACCCACACGATGTTTCTTCCTCCTCGTGATCTTTCCTGGATCCTGCCCTCTCTGATGTAGCGCGCCACAATGCCTCCTGCCGTTGATCAGCCCACTCCGTGCCTGTTCGCGACCACAAGATAATCTTCCTACTTGTCTCAAATCCTCTCTTGATTCTCTCTCTGTGCTCGAGTGATATTCGGTTTCTTCGTGGCATTTTGCCTGCTGTCAGAAAACCATCATGAAGCGAATGATCAGAACAGAATTTAACGAATGTAAATAGAGGCAAAATCTGAGTTCAATTAAAAATCGCTTCCTGCATGTTGAACTGTTTGTACAGGTGCATTAATAATCGTCTTAATTATTAATATTAATGCGTTCCAGTAATAGTGCTATTGAATTGCAAATCGTGTGATAAAAATGTTAATGAATGGTTTATGCACCATAATGTTTGTATATTGTGAATGTTAGCACATGTGAAAGTACATGTATTTTTTTCTTTTGCTTGACGAATGACGTATAAGTATGCCCAAAATTTTTCTCGAAAGTGCAAAAATCGACAATGAATCTGATTTACGCGCAAATGATCGTTTTTTGGTCGTTGATGAATGTCACTCCACGCTGAATGTTCGCCGTTTCACGCAAATGAATGCGTTTTTTCTCGTAATGAACGGTAAAAGGTGTACTTGACGAGTAGCTTTCCCTAAGTCTTGTCTTGCATGGTCTCGAGAATATCTTTCAAGCAGAAAGAGTGAATTAGTCCACATGTTTCCTTATAGAGACTTGGTATCAAAGGAAGGATTCACATGGATTCTCAAAGAAACTGGCGTTTTCATTAAGTTTCTTCCTGAAGCAGTAACAGATCCAAGATTGATCACATGTATGTTGTGGAAGCCTGGGGAAGGTTCTCCTCCTCTTGAAGATAATGAATCGTTGGTGAGCAATGTAATAGAACTCGACTGTGATGATTCAAACGATTTAGTTTTCAGTTCCATTGAAGTAGCCTTAACCCATAGTGCAAAGTGCTCGAGAGGTTACGAGCTTGTTATGAAGGAGATGACCGATACAGATGGATGGAGGGATCTAGAAACCTCAGAGGTGCAACCATCAGGTTTGTCACTGTCCTTTTAACACACTTCTCCGACCTGAATACCAGTGCTTATGTCCGCCTTAACTGACGGAGGCGCGGTTAAGCGGGCAATATTTTTTTCTTTCCTGTGGTTCATGAACTCTAAGAATAATTTTAAGTATCTCAGACAACTTACGATGGAAACCAAGGAATGCCCTATATTTAATTATCTGAATCCCACTGAGGTAGCAGGACATACAAAATGTACATTTCTGAAACTTGTGGACAGATCTACAAGGCGAAAGCTTGAAATGGTACACTGAATTGCATTTTGTTGGCGCTTAAATAACCAGTTTTTCCCGCTATGCCGTTATGAGGGAGACTTCATCGAAGCATTTATTTATTCACGTAGTTGTAAGGTAGGTAATGGTAATTTAAAAGGCTTGCAAATAAACTTTGAAACTTTCTTAATAAGTCTCTATTATGATCTGACAACTGGCAATTGGAGAGGAAGAAAAGCCCTTGTACACTTTTGAATGAAAAACAGTACTGGTATGGCGAACACCGTCAGTTAAATGACCATGGCAACGATCTTCCCAAAAACACTCAGAGATCTTACGGAAAGTATTTCCATCGACAATTATTCTTCGGAGATCAGTTAATCTCTCTTCAGTTTTAAAAGTCACGGAAGGTCAGAGTGTAAGAGAGTTCATATTTGTGCTTTGAAGTTAGAAAGTCTGCACGTTTGTTTTCTGCATTGGTGTATAAATCTTTCCTTTCTTCCACCAAAAACTGAGGTCAAATGAGATACCTTTTTTTAGCCAGACACTAGGGGATTTAGTGCGACTTTCACTCATCGAATTCCGTCGGTTTCTGTTGTGAAAATTATCAAAGAAATGTCCAAATTCAGGGGACTTGCAAATAATAAGCGAAAGTGTATTTATTAAAGATCTCAAAACTTTGCTCAAAGTTTCAAAAACGAACGAATTGTTTTGGAGAATTCGGATATTAGATAAGAGAGAGTCGCATTGATTAGCGTAATTATTTACTGCAAATACCTATCGTTTTAATTTCCGAAGTTACTTCTTATGAAGGATTGTTAAATTACAAACGGTTTTTAGACCGTGTGTCAATCTTTTCAAAAAAAAATTGATCACAACAAAATTTATTTCGAAATGAAAGTGATTTGAGAGAGAGAGAAGAGAGAATTAATGTTACTTCAGTATCTGCTGAAGGCCAAGACCAAAGTCTTTGTTTAGTAATGCTGCCCAGCTGGTAAACAAGATCTATTTCTAAAAATTTGCAACGAAGCCAGAGATGTTCTGTAAAGAGACTCAACATGAAACGGATACTGCGCGCTTTAAGAACCAATCATATCGCAGGGTTTGTAGAATACTGCCCGCTCACGAACTGAGAAAAAAATAATCAGTGGTATGGTTCGATTAATCAATCTCTCCTCGTTTTAAGTACAGCCTGTACATTTAGAGTCGGTTAGTTCGCATGGGACACGGTTTTGTCATCGAACTTGGAAGCGAAAGTTACTTCTTTCTCGAAGTTCAAGTCATCTTCACGGAGTAAACAATACCTCATTTCACCGCAGTTGAAGCATACCTTGGAATTTTCGTTTTGTTTTGTGTTTTTATTAAAATTCAGTACTCAACTGGCGCTTTTTGATTACCGGAATCTTTTTCACGACTACTTCAATACATCAAATGAAATCAATTGAACGTGCAAAATATGCCTCGGTATGTTTTAATGATTCAGCACCAAAAAAAGTAGAATACAGCGAAAGACTTGGTTGAAGGCCCAGCGAGATAACTCTGTTGAAATGTTAAAGGCATCTTTGACGAAAGGATCTTTCTACAGCTACATATATGGAATAAATGAATTATGGAATTAAAGGATTATGGAATACCTATGGTTTGTCATTACTTTTTCAGATCTCCTTGATGAACATTCTGGATGGCAAAGCAAATTACCGTTAGTGCGGGGCAAGATAACAAGCTTTTCTCGTTATGCCGTGATTTACCGTCTAAAGACATTTCGATTTCAAAAAGAGACGTCCACCAGATGCCATAAATTTGAATGCAGCGTGCCAGACTTCCCAGGCGTTAGTGTATCGATTCCAGAAACTTCCCTTCCTTCAGAGCCAGACTTCATGTGTACAATAAAGGTAAAAAACACGAGAGTGAGCTGCTATGTAACCAAACATGAATGTAACCAAACCCCAGAAAAAAAAAACCAGTGACCCAAACACAAAAACTGGGCGTTAACGTAAGGGAGGAGAAATTATCAAACAGCGAGGGTTTTTTACCTTGGAACTTGTACGTGTCTATCCAAAAATAAATTGCAAGTGCAGTCGGCACTTGCTAATAAAGATCTCCCTACGCGCCTTGAGCAATGTTGCTTTGCGGTACGGCAGTCTTTTAATGTAGCAATGACAAAAATGTGGATTTTTTTCTCCAAATAAGTATATGTTCACCAGTCGAAAGGTCCGTTTTGGGAAAAACTGCGCCCGAGGCCATACGCTGAAGGCGGTACTCAAGACAGAGGGCGCAGTTTTCCTCAATACGGACCGACCTATGCTGGTGAATAACATTTTCATTTTTTTCTAACACATAACAAATGATTGCCAAAAGAACCCGAATGATTAAGGGCTACAATTAAGAGTTTAAACTCTCTTCTTGCACATCCCCATAATCCCTTGCGAATTGGGGGGTAACCGGTCTCACAACAAAGCTAAAGACGCCATATCTGTTTACAAAACTCTTATATATCATCGTAATTTACATGGGAAAAAACGACTTTTTCTGTGCTCCAAGCTGCTCAAATAATCGGAAAAGAGACCAAAATCTCAAGTTTTACAGAATTCCGAAAAAATCTAAGCGAAGAAATGCTTGGTTAAATAGAATTCGCCGACAAGATTTGCACCAACAGACAACACTCGATTGTGCTCAGCTCACTTCGTCGGAGGAGAGAAGTCTGATGATCCTACACATTCGGCTTACAATCCATCCATATTTGAGTTCAAGAAAGGAATTGAAAGTCGAAAGACCAGAACAAGTCAAAAAACAAACAAAGATGACTTCGTTGCAATTGAAACTCTAAAACCAAAGCGCAAACGAGTCAGTGTAAGTACTTCACGATGACTTTGATAAGTGTTTTTGTTTAAGTTTTTATACTTGAAACATTATTTCCAACATATCTTTTCATCATTTTCCCAGGTATCGGGGGAAGGTAGGAGTCGCCCAAGAAAATCATTCAAATCTGATGATCATGAAATATGGGGAGCTTGTTTACCAATAGAACACGCATTGAAAGAGCATGACTACTGCAAGTCGCAAATGGATCCCAAGTCACGAGAATTAAGCGATGACATTTTGCAAGAGCTCACTTCTTTGCAGAGCAAAGTGATCGAACTTGAGAACGAAAATCAAAAGCTACGTGAAAAATGTCTTTTATTGGATCAAATTAAGCTAGACGATGACAAATTTCCTTTTTGGACTAGTCCCCCTAACTATGACACCTTCAAAGCATTATTTAACTATTTAAATGCTGTTGGTGTGGACGAAAAAAAAAATGTTGGAGAGGATCTGAAATGGCTTTACGTGACTGTCAGTTAGGAAACAAACCAGGGCCATCATCCAAGCTGCCATTGGAGGAGGAGTTGTTCATGGTCGCTGTTAGATTAAGAGTAGGATTTACACTGCCAGATCTGGCATTGAGGTTTGGAATCAGTGAAGCAAGTGTCAGCAAAAATTTTTCTGCATGGATTAATCTACTGTATTTCCACTTAAAAGATCTCTGCCAAATGCCTGACTATGAGGAATGTGGAAAGGCAAATCAGTTCTCATCACTCCCTGACCTCAACGTTATTGTGGATTGCACTGAAACCTTTACCCTGAAAACCTCCTCATTAAAGGCCTGCAAAGAGGTATACTCAAATTACAAGAGTCATACAACCTTTAAGTTTCTAGTGGCAATAAATGCTCATGGAGCAATTGTTTATGTGTCTCGAGCATGGGGAGGCAAGACATCAGACAAACACATCACAGCAAGCAGTGCAGGATTTATTGCTACCCTCAAGGCAGGAGATGAATTAATGGCTGGCAGAGGATTTGATATCAATGAAGCAATGGAAGAAAAAGGAGTGAAGGTTACTATTCCAGATATTAAAGGAACAGGCAGATTACAACTAAAAAACCACGAGGGAGAGCGCTCAGAGAAGATTGCAGAGGCAAGAATACACGTTGAGAGAGCTATCCAACGAATCAAAAATTTTCAGATCCTGTGTAAACCAATTCCACTCTCAATGGCTCATTTAGCTGAACAAATTTTTACTGTGTGTGCATATCTGGTTAACTTTCAAGCACCTATCTTAAGACAGTAAAAGGAAAGTACCTGATTCACTACAAACAATATATGTATACAAAACGGGCAGTTTATCAGCTGTAATTTGAAGAAGCTGTAATTTCAACCCTTTTTTCATCCTGGTTGTGGCCCCTCAATATTTTCACAATTAACATTTTTATAATCAACATATTTGGATAGTCAATATGATTACTCAAAAAGTAATCCAATCATTTGATTAGATTTTTTCTGGAAATTAAAACCCAATGAGTTCATAGATTAAGACAACATCTATTGTTGTTATACAAAAGCAATCCTATTATCTTAATACTAATGTAAGCAGATATTGTGACAGTCTTAACTTATACAATTTTAAATTTGTCTCAATGAAGCAAGAGTAGAAAATTCAATTCCCAGTTTACCTATTCTTTCAATACCATATTTCACTCTGGGATAAGCTAACTCTAACAAAAGTATGTTGTAATAAAACTTCTTGAGTTTTGGTAAATTGATATTCCAGAAATCATCATTAAAATCCACTCTTCTAACAAACAAATGAGTGCCATCAGAAGCCACAAGTCAGTCCATCTTTGACGAGTGCAAAACAGCTGCTGTTGCATCTGATAATAATATTTATGGTTTTTATTAACAATTAAACATCCATCCACATCTTTGACAATGTGTAGTCTTTTCAATGCTGCTTCCAATGTCTCATTGTAATGTGGGTGGATTTTCTTCAGCTCAATAGATCCATCATCATCTATCAATCCATCAGGAGAGGCTCCTAGGAAGGAATGAGTTTTTGACACAAAAAAAACAGATTTTTGTACTTTATTATTTGTTATTTTCATATATTGTTCAATGAATTCCCCTTCAGAACAAATGCCATCTCTCATGTGTCCAGTTTGAATCTTGTTGTTATAGCCAAGGATTTCACTCACAGCTTTAGTGGGACTAGTTGTCTCTTTCATGAGAGCTCGTTTACATTGTGAAGCTGTAATTCTAGGGGTTCTTTCTACAAACCATTGTTTACAATTTGATTGATCCCTTGTAGCCTTTTCGATCTTCTTGATATCATCATCTTGTACTCTGAGCTTGTCAATAATTGCATCAGCTTTTGAAGTGATGTCATGTAGTGAAGCTGGATTTGACTTGATAGGGCTTACTATTGCTCTAACATTCTCATGCTCGGTGATGTCTTCAATGTCCACATTAAAACTGTACGCCAAATGTGGATCATCAGCTGGCAAGAAATCAGGCAATTCTTGCTGTAATGGTGATTGGGGTAGAATATCTTTTTGGGCTAATATGTAGAATATAGGTGGCATGGGGTTTCCATGATTTGCATAGAAAAGGTCTCTCTTTAAGTTCATTTTTAATTCATCCATGGTCCTTTTATCATGCTGTGTGGTTCCATAGAAACTTTCTGTTACAGAAGGGGATGGATGGAATTTCTTTGTGGGTGGTTCTTTACCTACTTTGGCCTTATAAAAGTTGATATCCTCTACAATGACAGGTTCAACTTTGGCACCTGTAAAATGGGCAAAAGAGAAATGCATTTGAAAAATAGAAAATAAATCCCGACATATAATAGAATAATAATCCACAATATTATAAAGTTAATTTTCAGGATACCTTTAGGATCTGACCATGAACAAGGCAGATCAGTACAGGTGGGGTCAGGTGGAAGATGCTGTTTTCCCTCAGCTACTACATCACACAGGGTAAAGAGAATAGCTCCCACATGGCTACAGTCCCCTCTCAACCTAGAAAACAAATGCTACATTTAAGTAATCAATTTCATTTGACATTTTTTTAAATAAATACAGCCAGCTTACCCAATTGTGCATGTGCACACC